AGTCTACACCGGTCAAGGTACTTTCATAAGAAATTTTTTTTCAAATCAACTAACCACGTGCGTTGTCTTTAGGAACCGATGAATGAGCTAACGATTGTCCAGGATCGGATGCACTCTCAGTATCAGAACGCATTGTAGTCCATCTAGCTAGGGATCTACTAGATAAAAATCATTATTTATACGCCGATAACTGGTTCGTCAGTTTTCATCTTACCAGATTTTTGTTGCATCGTAAAACATTCTTGTATGGAGCTATCAAAAAAAATCGTGGTGAGAAGAAAAATGCGTTTCTATCGATTCTGAACTGTTTTATCATATAGTGTCATCATCTACATCTAAACAATCAAACTGTATAGAAAAAGCAAGAAAGAAAGAGGTGAGGGAAAAACCACTAGCGTACAACTGCCCAGACCAACGAATCTTACTGTAAGATCTTATAAGATTCTTGTACGATTCCGTCTGATTTCGTAAGATTCGTATAAGAATTTGTAAGATTCTGTAAGAATCATAGACTTCTTCTTCGTTATTGATGTAAGATCTTATAGTAAGATTTCATCATATTTCGCAAGATTCTGATACGATTTTTATAAGATTTTATAAGTTGAATCCCTTTCTATGATTTTCCGTACGACTTTTTTTCATAAGATCTTGATCTGATTTTTCTTACCCGGGTGGTTTACAAATACCTCCATATTGCACAAAACACAAAAAAATAAAACGCATAAATTTTGAAATAACAGAAGAGAACAGAAGAGAAGCTAAAACGTAATAAGTCTTTTATTGATAGAACAGTGCTGAATCGAATAAAATCCAGTTAGAACCTACAGTACGACTCTCCATGTGTATTCTAATCGACTTTTCTAGGCGTACCTGGAGTGCTTTCAGATGTGAATCTAAAACCAACCGACTCGGCTTTTATTCGTAGCGGCTCAATACTCATTATCAAATATCAAGATAAAAAGCTGATCGTAAGACTTACAGATGGTTCGCGACGTTGGGAATACATTTATCACAACGTTTACTCTATATGCGATATGCAAAGGATGAAGATGAGAACGTCTTAGAGTTCACTTTGGACAATTTAGTCCAAAAGTAAATTCTTTGCATTTGAATTCAAAGTTCAAGTGTTCGATTCTATCAGCTGTGAATCTTCTTTTGTGCTTTGTTTCTTTCTGTTCTATCCTTATCTCTCTCAATTAAGATACTCTAACTAGCTGAGTTTGTAGAGAATTTAACGTCGGGAAATTAACGGGATTTTAGTGAATAAATGTGTCTGATTTCATCTGGAGTTGAATACGGGTACGTTTTTCCTTGATACTAAACTGTTATTACTCGAAAAAGAGAGTAGGCCGATTTCTAACCTTATGTGTTCCCGTCTTTTTTATTATTCAGGACGTTTTTAAGCTCAGTTATGAGTTTTAGCTGAAAAGTAGAGAAAATCGCATTTTCGATCACGAGTCAAAATGTGAACAACCAGAATTTCGGCAGATCAGGACTAGGACTGTGACGGTGACCAGTTACCGTTACCACCATTCCTGGTAACGGGTAAGCAGTTATCGTTATAAGTAACGATAACGATCACTTACAAGTAAGGGTAACTGTTCAGTATATCTTCCAACAATCAAATCTCTGAATATATAGGTGATAGTTATTTATACCTGATCGACCTATATCCTATCATCGTTTTATCCACTACATATGAAGAAATGTTCGTACATAATTTTTTTCTCTTATCATAAGATGTGTACATACTTATTTCTCATTTGAATATTGTTACAACTGAGAATCTCAGTCACGAATGCATATATTACGTCTTGTATTCCAACATAAAAGATAAATGATAGCAAATTTTTTATTTTTACCTCGCTGATAGACCTTATTCGCTGATCATTTTCGACGCAACAGAATATAGTCACTTTGGTTATTAAGAATGAATGAGCATAAAAAACATTAGTCAACATTTTACAGTACATGTAGAAGTAGCCATAAGAACTTATACACTTCCGACTGCGTTAACCACTGTTGTGCCCGACAGTTACCGTTACAAGTAACGGTAACTGCTTAATCGTTACCATTACCAAGAACGGTAACCGACCAGCAGTTACAGCTACTGTAACGGTAATGGTAACTGTCACAGCCCTAATCAGGACTTGATAGTTTTGAAATAGAGTTTTTACAGACTCCCGAGTACCCTCTATAAGTCTATAGTTTTAAAATATTTGTCTGGTCACTTTTATTTCAGGTCATTTTTTCTCCATACATTTTACTATAAGTTATGTGTTCAACTTATTTTGTACACTAATGATGTCTTTTAGAAAGAAAACAAAACTGCAACAAGTCTATTCTATTTTTTTAATTTTTATAATAGACGGATGAAATACTGGATCTGATTTCCAATTAGAATATCTGAAAAATGGTAATAACCATCCAGTAATATTAAGTACTAATAATATCGAATATAACAGTGTTAATTGTTCGACTGTTTGAAATGAAGGGATTTTACTATTGATTAGTTCTGTTTCTAATGGTAATACTTTCATCCTTGTAGTATATAATAGTGTATAGAACTGAACAAAATTAATAAAATCTAATAAATGTCTTCGACCATTTGCTTTTCTTGTTAAACATTGTAAAACATCACGTGTTATAACAAATGCACGAATGGGTAAAATACATAATGTTAATATTTGCCAATATTTCCATATAGGGGCATTCCTTTTAAAATTTAAATATTGCGAATATAATTCTGGTTGCTGATGTTGTTGACAATAGCTGGAAAGACTTAGTTCAATTAAAGTAACAGATGAAAAGTATGTTCCCAGTACTGTTGTAATACACAAGGCAATAACTGAAAACGGCGCTTTATGTAATTTTGGATTATATTCAACTACCGAGTTGGAATCAACGTTAGATGTTGCAGCTTCAGTCGGCATGATTTGACTTCGAAAAATATCCTATGAGGAAAAGGGGTATAGATACTGAAAGAGAACAAAAGAAGCTGACCATAATACATATCCGCTTCAAAGTTCCAACACAGATTGTGCTTGTACATTATCGGCATATAGTACAGGATAAAGGATGATCTGAGAAATTTTCACAGAAGTAATTGACTAAACTTGTCACAAAATAACGATAAACTTTTAAATTTATTGCTAGATGATGATAATACCAAAGCTGATATGTATAATGAGAATAATAGGCGTGTTACATGAGAAAGTGGACCTAGGCCAGTTTTTACACACAGCATCCTATTGGGCTAAAACTCCGATGTGAAGAGTTTTGAACTATGCTCTTTCATTTGGCTCACTTGAGCTTCTCCAAAATATGTGGAGGAAGGGTTTCTAGAAACCATGATTTTCGGAATATATGAGTAGAAAAAGACATTTTTCTAGGGGGTGGTGTCACTTTAAAAGACTTTTGTGATGGCTATCGCATTCATAACAAAACGGCGCGGTTTGGCAATCGGTTTTTAGTGCTGCTTTATAACCAGTTGTCCGTTATAGAAAAGGTTTATCCTTTATGTCTTTGTTTTATCCGCATGGCATTGCATAGCGATGTGAAGATAATTGTTTATTGTTTTGACGCATTTCAGTTCCTTTGTTCGGTTTAAATGTTGTTGTTTTTTGAGACCATCATATAATGTTAATGTATTCTGGTTTTGGTTCTGTTCTGATATTCAATTACAAGGGAAGCTATATCCTGTAACACCTCACTATTGTTTAGAAGAACCTTTAGAATGATTTGTTTTTTATTCCTCAATTTTTGTAAAAGTTGTCTACGTTTCTTAATGAATACTGGGCATTGTAGTAATAAGTGGTTTCTCGTCGACAATGGATGATTATATAGTTTACATTTTGTTGATTTTACCTCATGCCGAATGTATTTTCTCGTCTCAGTGCCAAATGTGTTCGATCTTAATTGATATAGTATTTTTTGTTCTTGTCTGTTTAGAGTCATTATTATTCTCGGTGTGTCTAAATGTGGATTGATAGCAAGATAAGATTTTATTTTTGCAGTTGATGTGAACTCATTTTTCCATAATTCCTTTGTATGAGCGTATATCAAATTTGATGCTTCATTAAATGTATATGGACATACTGCTGTTATTGAAGTTATTATTGTGCTATTAGTGATAATCGATCGTGCTGGTTCATCTGCTATGTCATTTCCCACGCTTCCACAATGCCCGGGAATCCAATGAATATTAACTACGATTTGCTGTTGTTGTAGCTCATTGATTAGTTGTTTAATCCATGAAATAGTATTATTATTAGTTTGAGATGATCGAATGCTTCTTATCGTTCCTTGATTATCACAGAATATTGTAATGTTAGTATTAGATGATAATGAGCTTTTCACATATTCGATAGCCATCAATGGAGCTCGAATTTCCCCAAAATATGACGAGTGATATTTTCCCAATAATTGCGTGCGAATTACATTCAGTTTGGAATATAAAACGCAGTTGAAGATAGATCATTGATTTTTGAGCCATTTGAGTAGTTTAAAATGTGATTATCGTCGGATTCAGATTGCTCAATTAGTATTCGTTCATTTTCTGATGCACCGCATGGATCACTTTTTATTTCACTAATAATTGACGGTGGAGATGGTTGAAATCTCGGAATTAGTTCTAAATTATTCATACACATCTTTAATTTCTCATCGACAATCATACTTGACTCGATTTCATTGTACATTATTGTCAATGGACATGATTTTGATTTCACAATGATTTTTCGTAACGGATTAAAAAGAGCTTTTGATCTAATCGACGCTGCTTTTTTCAATCTTTTCATTTTTAGATGTAATCTCAACGGTAATATTCTACATTCAGCCTCCATGACTTGTGATGAGATTTCAAATGAATCGATAGCATAGGACAAATATTGTTTCTGAATTTTTTCGATTATTTTTAGTGATGATTTTGCTAATGTAGCTGACCATACAGACGCACCGTAATCGATCTTTGAAATTAATCGAGTTTTGTATAAATCAATTAATGTTTTCACATCTTGTAGCTTATTTTGACTAATCCATCGCTTTATTTTGCCCAATTCTCTAGCTGCTGATATTCTAATTTGCTCAAGATGTTTGTGCCACTAAAACGTTTTGTCAAATATCACCCCTAAATAGTTAATGGAATCCGATGGTAGTATTCGGCTGTTTTTATAGATTAAATGAGAATTCTGACTTTGTCTTTTTCGATTAAAATGGATTAGATGTATTTTATCAATTTGGATCTCCAATTTTATTTCTCTTAATGAATTTTCAATTTTATTGATGAGAAAATTAATCTCATTACATTATATCGACTTTTGTTTCCCGACACAGTAACTGTCAGGTCATTAGCATAATCAAATAGTATAGTGTTATTCGACGAAGGTCTAAAAATTGATCTAATGTAAATATTAAATAGGACTGGCGATAATGAGCTTCCTTGTAGAGTCCCATAACTCGATAGTTTAACTCTTGATGGAATGTCATTTTCAATAGAAATATAAGCTTGTCGTGGCTCGCAAAATGATCTAATAAAATTGACGAAAGTCGACGATATACCCGAATCTTTTAGTTTAGTCAATAACAGATTTAGATCGATACTATTAAATGCTTTGCTAACATCGAGGAATGCTGCTGATATAACTTGTTTTTGTCAATACCTTTTGCTATTTGATGAGCCAAAACCAGCTGAGCATCCTCTGTACCTAATCCTTTTCTAAATCCAAACTGATTGTCATAAAAAATGCTCAAATTCTCACATTCTGCAATTAATTTGTGGCCTATGCTTTTTCTAAAATTCTTGCAAATGAAGATATTAAACTAATTGAGCGAAAGTTTTTGGCTACGTATGAAAAATTTCGTCTTTTCTTTTTGAATGCTAACATCTTTATAACTCTCCATATCTGTGGATAATACGCTGTTGTTACTACGGCATTAAAGAATTTCAAGAGGATAGAATGAAATAAATCGCCCGCTTGTTGTATCATTATTATTTGTATTTCTAAGAAAAATCAGCCGCTTTTTTAGGTGACATTTGGTTTAGAATATTATCCATTTCTACACTAGCGATAAATTCATCTATTTTTATATTGGTATTTAAATCTTGGCCACTGTTGTTATCCCTGTTATCAGTAAGAGAATTATCGGAGCAAAATTCATCTATAAATTCCTGAACTATCTCATGTTTTTCCATAAGCTTTTTGTTATTTTTATCAATTAAATAAGAGATTGATTGTTGAGGTTTTCTCGACATTTTTTTCTGTATCGTAGTTTCATTGACTAATTTTAGACCAATAACCTTATTTTGCTGTTTCAATATCAGTTTTAAACCGTTTTTGTTCTTCTAAATATCTGTTGTAATTCTGTGATGATCAATTTTCCATATACCATCTTTTAAATTTTCTCACTAATTTTCGTTTTATAGCCAATTCTGGGGTCCACCAATATTTACTGTTTTTATTCACAATTACTTTTGGAATTGTAACATGAGCTGCATTTAATAAGATGTCATCTATTTGTTTTGCAAATTTATCAATCTCATCTTTATTTCTGATTAATGCTGCCTCTAAACCTATTGCTCTAATTGCATCATCAATATTTCGCACGAATTTAGTCCAATCTGCCCTTGAATAGTTCCGTCTACACATGCTTTGAAACGGTTGAAAAGATGATTTTTTCCGCTCTAAATCGTGCAGATTAATTTCAATGAGTTTATGGTCTGTCTGATTTAATTGCTGTTTTACTACAGACTACTTTGGACTAAACAATAATAGTTCTTTAGTATGAAGTGTTAAATCTATAATACTGTTAGATCCTTGTGAATCAAAATAGGTAGGCACTCCAAATCCATTGGCTATTTCCAGATCATATTCAATTATTTTCTCATATAGTTTTTTACCGACAGTGTTGTTTACGTGATCGCCCCAATGTTGACGGCTTGCATTTAAATCCCCTATGAGAATAATCTGATCGGTATGTTTCTTTATTTTCTTGTACATTTTGTCAATACATTTAATTACATTTTGGCAACCGGGACGATTATAGACAGCAATAAAACAGATTATTTTCGATTTTGTGTGGGCAAACAAAACTATTATATCGTTTTGACCTGTTTCACATTCATATGCTCTCGTTATGTTCGATGATTTTTTAAAGCAGACTAATACTCCATCTTATCCTTTTACACATCTTTTTGTCATGCACAAATGATCATTTTTAACAGCTGTTGCTGCATCATCATGATATTCAGATACAATAAGAAAATCGTAATAATGTTGATTGACAAATGAGTTCAATAATTCGGTACTAAACAAGATACATTTTCTTGCATTCGCTGATAATATATTTAATTGGCTATTATTATGATCGATAGCGGAACTAGTCATTGGGTCTTTAATTTAATTTTTCTGCGATTTCAATGTATTTTTCACAATTTTGTGAATTCGCCGCATGATTCGAGCCACAATTAGCACATTTTAGGTTTTCTGATTCACATTCTTCAACATCATGTTTACCCCCACAATTCAGACAATGTTTTTCTGATTGGCATGTCAGATGTATATGGCCGAATCGCCAACAATTAGTGCATTGAGTTGGACTTTTTATTCTTTTAAAGTTTTCAATAAAACATCGATTACCAGTTAAGTAGGCACATTCACAATCTAATAATTTTTGCTTAACTCTTTCATCAATAACTTCTATTTTAACTGTCGCTGTGTGAGGCTTTCGATAAACGTTCTTTTTAATTAACCAAGTTGCTTTTTCAATACTGAATTCAAAATCAATGCGAGGATTATTTTTTGCAAATTCAGCTGATGTTAAAACTTCATCAATATCAAGATTTGTCGGAACTTATTACGAAGCAATGAGATGATGATGCTCCTGGTTGGTAAACGGAATAATCGTCATTAAATGCATCTGTTTTCCAATTTTCATTTCGATGTTCTTCCATTAATTTTTCTTGTATCGTCTTATTTAGAAATTGATAGATCAGTCCCTCTGTTGGATGAATATAAGCAAGTTGTGGCTTGCATTTCAGTTGAAGATGTCTTAT